GATCTTATATAAGGAGATAAGACAAGTCCCGCAAGGGGAACATGCAAAGAATATATCAGAACAACATACAGATCACTGCACGTTAGAATATGTTTGAATTGCACCTGACAGTTTACTTGTAATGAATGGATAATTTATGAATGCATTGTTACTTAGGTTTGCTGGGTGAACATTGTTGGGAGTGGTTTTGTGTGTGGGTCAGGTGATGAAGTTTATGTGATGTGCTGCTGTGCAGAGTGTGAGTGTATACCAGATTATGAATTGTTGATTGTATGTGCCTTTCAATGTCAAATTCATCAAAAGGGATGTTAGATTCTGATATTACTCTTGAACTTGTTATGTTTATGTGTGTCACTGTCTTTTTACAGCTGTTTTAGATGCTTTTACTTCATGGTAGCATTTGTATAAGATCTCAACACTTGTCCATCATAGATGTCACTAAACTTCATCCTTGTTTCTCTGTGAAAACATCAGTCAGCAGTTAGTTTTAATGAAATATCAATATCCTTGTATGGGCATTATCATGATCAAGGCCAATACCATTTTTGAAAAATAATTAGTTTTCATGAAACCATACCCTGGGTTCAAATATGTGAGGTGAGGTGAAATTGGGTTTAACGTCGCATCCAAGATTATTGCACTTATATAGCGACGTGCATGCACGTGTGTGTGGCTGCTTGTACTAGTCCAGACTGATGCCGATTTATAGTGCTAGCTCACTGAGATACCAAGCCGCTGTTTAACATGAATACCCCACTCAGACACAGTATACTGACTCCGAGCCGACCAGGGGATCGAACTCCAGACCTTCGCTCTCCGGGCGGAGGCTCTACCACAAGTCCACGGAGGCGGTTTCAAATATGTGAAGGTCAGAAGTGTAGTAAATATTTTTATAAAAAACCTGAAACATGGTCACTTCTTGTGTTCAAGATCATTTGAGGAAAAAGCATTTCAATAAAACAATATTTTGATTTTTGATTCATAACCCTCTAAACACTACTTAGTTTCTGGTCTTTTCATAGGGCCAAAATGATACAAGGAGACAACTTTATGTTTTGTGACAAGCACATTTGCATGATTCACCAACACAGATCCAAATGGTACAATTGTAGTTATTTATCAAAATTACCTTTTCGCAACGATTCATACATGTTCCGTAGAGTGATGTCTCAACTGCATATGACAAGCCTGAAAGACCTTATGATTTTCATTTTAAGTGTTATGAAAACAATTATAGGAGAGCTTTAATTCCTGGGCACACATGGTGAGGAACCCTCTATCTGTAAATGTAGGAGAAATTTAGATTTTATTTCTATCTTGATACTTTATGATATTTCCATGACATGGATTTCCCTGATATGATGTGGTAATATTGGGTCGTTCTTTGAATATTTTGTGAAGTGTGTTCCATATGTAGTGCAATTTATGCTAGACATCTGCACGTTGTGTATGCTATATGCATCTTACACACACAGGAAGGCATCTAATCAAAAGGGAAATCAAAACTGTACATATACAGTAGGCGTAGTTTAACATGGGGGAGTACAAACACTCCCTGTTTAGTACATGTGTGTCTCTTTGATGTGTACAAAATATTATGTTGCTCATATAGTTTTGATATTCCATAAACATACATTAGAGTAATTGCAATCAGGCATCAAATTCCAAGGAACCATTTTGATATTCTAGTATCCAAAGAAGAAGGCAAGTTTCCAAAATGATGTTATGTTGTTATTACCAATGAATAGGAATCCCACAAACTTATACCAAGTGTCTCATGAGTGGAGGGGTTGCTGTGAGTAGCTGACTGGTGACAGTGTTGCTTCATCAGGCTGACGACCCAGGTTTGTTGATTCCCCACATTTGTGTGTGTGGAATCCATTTCATATAATATCTATTTTATAGATAGAATGTCTGGAATATTGCTTAAGTGCTTAAACCACTACTCACTCACTGATAGGTTGTTATGTGATATTTGCACTCAATTTGGATAGCTTGATTATGACTATTATATTGTGATTTCTTTTTAAAGAAATGTTTTGCTTTTTACAAATGGACAATCCTACTATGAAGACCAAGAGACCTCATCTCCCCAAACTCTTTAAACATACATAGACATTGTAAACAATTGGTCTGTTTAGATTGCATATAATGAACACCAAAGCTTTACAAATTCATTGCCATCATATTTTTGGGTCATTTTGGAAGTACATGTGAATATACCAATATAGTCTCCAAATCATTTTATCATGGCGCCACTTGGCAAGTGGTGTACATTCACAAATTGCTAAATATAGAATTAAGTAGTTTTCCTGCTGATTTGAAGGCCTGGCTCATTTGTATGTGATTGCCGCCACTGTGTTGTGTTTTTCGTCAAATGGAATCTGTTTCGTCAAATAATAGAGCCTGGTTATTTTCTGGCAATGAACGTCTTCCGTAATAGAGCACTTCTCAAGTTTAAGGGTGTTACTACCAGTTCAGATAGCGTATACCACATTGTTCTGTATTCAGTATCGGAACAGAGACTCCCAGAGACTTATGTCATCTTCATTTAAAATCACTTTGTTAATCCTGGAGCTCATACTGTATGTCCTACTATTGAAGTGACCACCAAGTCCCGGCATCATACCGTCAATGATATTCCAATGTTTTAATGTAATTATTGAGTTACAGGCCTTGGGGTGGGGGTATTTTTCTGAAAACGATTATTCGCTCCAGAAAATATGATTTGTTCTTTAGTTTTACCCCAAACTACATTGGTCACTGGATATACTAGGTTTCCTGAATAATTCTGAATTGGTTTTGTCCTTTCACAGACACAGCTTACATGTTTTGAAGCAGTGACCGTGAAAATGTCCTGTCTCCAATACTAATCCCAGCCCCATCCTATACACTGCAGAATGTTCAATGTACAGGGGCACATAGGAAATTCATTATGATGCTGTAATATTACATGGAATATACATGGATATATAAGAGTTTTTGTGGCTCATTTGGAGTCAAACTCAGTCACAGCCTGTTTGGTGCCAAAGTCAATATATTAATCAAGTCAATCTGTATTTTAATAACCTTTGATACTGATATTTCTACTAAAAACATTCCATTTCTGAATACTTACTATAATCAGTGTAAATAATTATATATAAATGATATATATTTAATTCTTGCTACCAGCGAAGCTTTGAAGTGAAGGATTTAGTCATCTGATTTGTTTTATGTTGTTTTATTTGTTTTTATATGAAGAAGTACTTTTATTATGTACATGGAAAGTTGTTTAAGTCTAACTTACATCTGTTGTAAATCCAGCTGAGGATAATATATGTTGAATGCTAGACTTTATTTGACATTACTAAAATTGCATTTTCAACATCAGTTAGTACAAGGATTGTTTGTCTTTGAGAATGGGTTTCACTATAACATACTTTGCATCTCAAACTTTTAGAAATCTATTTTTAAAAGTTAAGATTGTCATATTTGGTGAATAAAATGTTGACTCAACATCTCGTCATGTTATGATTTTCTTCATTAATTTATTATGTTTAACAGCTGAGGAATAACATGGAAGCTCTTTTGAGCTGTAGAACATAAGGTAGAAAGTATACTAACCATTTGCAATGAACTTTCAACAACGTTTTTGGTACAGGCAATGTGATGAACAAATGTATTTATGAGATAATACACTGCACTGCTTCTTTAGCTTTGAATATCTAGAAACACCAACTAAGCAAATGCTATGATGGTGTTCTATCTTTTATCTGTTATCTTTTATCCTGAAAAACTAGAATTGTTGAAAATAATTTTTTCCATTTTTGGGGAATATGACCATACATGGATATGCTGAGGAGATGTTATATCAACTTGACTTTTAACCCAATTTTTATTAAACATATTTCCTGGAAGGAAGATGGCATATTCTTACTACTACTTTCATTTGTTGTTACTAGGACTGTGTATTGCCTGGCATTTCAATTGCGATATATTGTGATGTTTAGGTGTGTATTGTGACACTTATTAGAATATATTGCCCTTCTTTTTTAAAGATCAAAATAGTGCCTTGCTTTTTCACCTTTTGAGCGGGGCGATCTTGTATTCAAGATGCTTGGCCGCCAATAGTAGAGCTTACTCAAGTGCGGTAACGCAGTGTCAAGTAGCAGGGTGTATAAGACACTGTATTCATCTGAGATCTGCTGTATGAGGAAGAGTTTAATTTATTTTTCACTTTTGACAAAACCTTATACACTTATTTACATATATTCTCAACATACAAACACATTTAGATCATATCGCAATATGGTTGAAGGTTTGTGTCATGGTTTACTGGTGGACAGACAGTCTTGCATTTAACTGCTGTTCAGAGATTAAACCCAACTTTGTCCACAGCTCAGTTTGGACTGTAGCTAGTGGTGTGTTTATGTCATCTGGGTTAGATTTTGGGAGTAAACATAGATTTTCACTTCCAGAATAGTCTAAGTTGGCTGTTTTACAAATTTTGTTAAATGCTATGATAAAAAACCCACATGATTTTTGTCAACTCCTGCATTACATATTGATTTCATACTGAATACCTGAACCTGATACTTCTGAGAATATCCTCTAATTGGAAATCAGGGCAAGGGTAGAACCATTTAATAGAATGAAGATTTAGTTCCTTAAGATTATGTTTGAATATGTGCTTTTCACATCTCTTAACATTTCTCTTTAATACCCATAAGTAATAGTTCAGATGTAGTTATACCCAAGGCATATACCCAAGGCAGAGTTCTATGAAAGTCATCCAGATTCTTGTATACAACAGTGTGTTCTAAGTGTCATATGTATGAAACACCGAATCTGCTGCTGTGATGCTTAATCGTTTTTAAGTCTGTTCATATTTGCATACGTATTAATCTTCTTATCAGTCTGTCTTGAAATGAATAAAACAGTGATCAATCAATATTATTTCAGTTCTAAAGAAATGGCATGGAAGGTAAACTTTAACAAATGTCCTGTGTATCTTTCAGAGGGTGAAGCACTAACTGGAAAACGGAAACTTAGTGATGATGAAATTGAAAAGATTGTCGATTCTGTCTTGGATGATGATGACTTGGACCATGATGGTTATGTAGAGTATGTAGAGTTTATTACTGCTCAGAGGAGAGCCAAGCATGAAGCTGACAAGGCAGTGCCACCACTTACTGCTCCAACAGACAATGGACAGGTACAGCAACAAGAACAGCAAGTCCATGTGCCACAGGACCAGTCCAAGCAGGACGTTGTTGACCAACAGCAACAGCAACTGCAAAATGAAATGCAGCAACAACAGCAGCAGCAGCAGCAGAATGAGCAGCAGTTTCAGGTACAGCAACAAGAACAGCAACAATTGACTCAGGATCAACATCTATCTCAGCCACAACAGGCACAGGGACAACAAGGTTCACTGGAACAGCAGCAACAGCAACAACAACAGCAGCAGCAACTACAACAGCAGCAACAAGGTTCACTGGAACAGCAGCAACAGCAGCAGCAACAACAACAGCAGCAGCATCTACAACAGCAGCAAGAACAACAGCAGCAGCAGCAGCAGCAACAAGGTTCACTAGAACAGCAACAGCAGCAGCAGCAGCAAATTCCTGTAGAACATGTTCCCGTGCAACAAATGCAAACTCAAGAGGGAGAACATGTACCACTTCAAAATCAAGTTCCTTAGTAATAAGTAAATATCACTTGTGACTTTTTGGGAATGAGGTCAACCATTTAGTTTCACACAACATTTCATTTTCAATGAGAGGAATATATCAAATGTAGTTAGATTTGTCCCAATATTTTCTGCTGCACATATACCTTGAAAACCAAATTGTCATTCCTTTCAAGAAGTATATCATGTTTTCTGTCTTTAGTTTCTACAAGTGTTTTGTTATTAGTTTCTGATGAATTTCAAAATGATCTTGTTGGTGTAAATAATATCATTTTAATAAGATATAAAATTACTTGTTTGATTTATGTTGCAACTGAAGCATGGGTTGTTTTATCAATGCATACATATACAGTTAGGATGCATAATATGTACTCTTTATATGCTGTTTTCTGTGTTCAGTATTTTTTATGCTTAAGAAGTTTATACTACTTATATATGTTTTCACAACCGTCCAAACATTTAACAGTCCTTTACACATATATGTTTATGTAAGAAAGCACTGGTTGGTGTTGACATTAACATACTGATGGTCATAAGTTGAAGATGCATACATGCTTTAGTCACTAAGAAGAAAGCTCCATGAACCAGGTCATCTTCATATCCCAACGAAATAAATAAAATAATGGTAACCTGTATACACAGTTATCCGCAGTCTGAATATTTCAGTGTTAGTCTGGTGAATGTATCCACCAATTATTAGGGCAATGACAACTCTTTATTCTGTGGACACAGAGCAATAGAATCAGTGCAGTGGGAATCTCGTGACAATGTCGCCAACTTTGCCCTACAGACAACAATACATGAGATTTATGTAACTTTTCACTATAATTCAGTATTTCAAATTTTAGCACACATAATTTAAAGTTATTTGAGCTTAGGTCCTGTTTGTCCCGTGTCCATTATTCATCGTCCATTGAGTGTCAACCATCAGAAACATCTCCTCCTCAGAAACCAGAGGACCAATGAAGCTGAAACTTCACATACTTCCTCTCAATTAAGATGACGCCCTAATTTTTTCATGAGGTTTGACACAACCAGTTTGTTTGAAAAAGTTATGATATTTGGTACATTTGTAAGTAATGCTGTGTCTAAACATGTTCTGTTTTTTGTTATATTTTATATTTTCACATTTGCACTTAGACCATACTGAAAGCTGAACATCTTTTGGACTTAACTCCACAGCAGGTGAGCTACAGTACTTGTGGCACAATGTTTCAATTTGAGACCATTGGTATATTGGTGTCAACATTTGTCTCCACATTTACATTCATTTTATATGTATATGAAGTTTAACATTTGTTACAGTTTGACAGATACCTGCTTACATTAAAACTTGTCAATAATATCTGAAGATAACAAGATGACAAAATTATCAAATCCATTGAAGTGGTAACAACTGATAAGTTTAAATCATGTCCATCTACCTCTGACAAAACTTTTTTTGTTAATACTTGGTATGTTCTCTGTTATTGTATGAAGGGATTTGCTTACATGTGTTACCAAGGTTACTTCATTTTCTTGATTTATGGAATTCATCCAATGAGGCAGGAGAAGACAAAAACAACAATTGTTAGGGTTTATTGTTGGTTAATTTCACTTAAACAGTGATGGAAACGAAACTTGAACAAAACAAAATCACATTTCTAATCAAAGTGAAGCATTCTGATGTTGAAGTATTTTGTTACTTCCATGAAACGGGAGTATGAAATGATCTGGCTTTATTGTTATCAGTTGACAGTACAACAGATGCGATGCCATGTATTGGTATTTACATATGAGAGAAATGGGAGTCATTGTGATTATCTTATTTGGTAAACACACAACATTTACAATGTATGCAATACCATTGATCACTGATGGCAAAATAGCAGTGTATATTATGTAACTATTGACATTGTACGTTATTTATTGTCAGTGTCAATACTCTAGGTTCAGTGTATGTGTGTATGATATATATGTCTTGTGATCCACTGACAGTAACAACACACCACAGGCAATAGAAACTATTGACAGTTAGGCCATGACTCCAGTGTAGTCATTGGAAAGTCAACACAGATAATTTCTTTCTTAAAATTAAAATAAATATTACGCCAAATGACGTAATCCACTAGCAGTGTCACAACAAATGATGTCATGAAAGATCCATTATTTAGGATTGTTGTTTCTTTTTCAATAGATAACAAACATTTTGACCATATTCTGATATGCTGTAATTCATGTTGGTCTTGAGTTAATAATGACTGGTTTCTGGGATTGTATTAGTGTTCATAAAACAGTAATAACTTTAAGCATTATATTTTATAACATAAAGCTGTATTCAGTATTTCTACCCAATTTATACCATGATAATGGTAAACTCAAAGCAATTAAAAGTGCAATAGACCAGTAGTTGTATATATCAGTTTTTTGTTATACAAATGAACTCACTGTCAGATTGGTAATGTTGAAGGTGAACATATGTACACCTGGGAAAAAGTTAAGTACTCCTTTTTAAAATATTCTGAACTTTGATATTTATTTTGGAAATATCTACATATGACATTAATCTCATTGTGAAAAATGTCTACAATGCCACTGACATCTGATGAATATTTGATAAGAGAATATTGAATATTGTATGTTCCTTTCAGATGGTCCCTAAAACTGGGTCAGTATTCAAATATTATGCAAAGAAGGAGATGAAGCAATTGAGATGGTAGTCAAAAAAATATCACCATGGAATGGTTACAAAAAATGTGTCATTACATAACCACTTTCGGTTTTTGTATGTCAATATGAGTACCCAACTATGTCAACAAAAACAAATATGTTTCATCAGAAAATATATACATCATACCATTTTAGAATAAAAGTCTATTTCATTTGGAAATATGGAGTGGTGCTAAATTAATTCCTTGTGTATACTAGTATCTGTTTACTTATAGCAGTCAATTGGGTGATAAATATCCTAAACATGTTCTTTTTGTTGATGTATCTCCATTTGATTTCCAACGGTGTTAGTAGTTTACATGGAATTCACATAAGAACAGTGTTGTTGATATAAACGATGACCTGACCGGTCTGGAGAACTGAAGGTGCCTACGAACAAGTATTCCTTGAACTTTTTAAGACCTTTTTAATAAATGATTAGCCTATTTATACGTTTGTACAATTTAAATATATGTGTGGATTACAATTGATCTGAGCCAAGGCAAATAGTGTTTGACCTTGCTACTTCCAAAAAAATGCTTTCTTATAAATACATTCATACACAACCCCTATAGTTAGTCAAATTGGTACTACACATTTTTTGAAGTGGTTGAAGTCGTACATCTTTTGGTAAATCTTTTGTTTGAGAAAGGGCGGTTGGGTAGCCTAGTGGTTAAAGCATTCGCTTGTCACGCCGAAGACCCGGGTTTCGATTCCTGACATGGGTACAATGTGTGAAGCCCATTTCTGTTGTCCCCACCGTGATATTGCTGGATTATTGCTAAAAGCAGCCTAAAACCATACTTAGTCAGTCAGTTGTTTGGGGGCGGTCGGGTAGCCTAGTGGTTAAAGCGTTCGCTCGTCACGCCGAAGACCCGGGTTCGATTCCCGACATGGGTACAATGTGTGAAGCCCATTTCTGGTGTCCCCCGCCGTGATATTGCTGGAATATTGCTAAAAGCGGCGTAAAATCATACTCACTCACTCACTCAGTCAGTTGTTTGAGTAAAAATGTGTTATTTTTGTCGATTGTTATTTAGTAATTAACACCTTCTTTTTTGCATTTGTCATGTATTTGTTCTTTGAACAAGTTTTTTTCACATATCAAATATACCAACTACACTTGTGAAACTAGGAAACTTATCTGAGTATTTAACTAATGGTGGTATTTTTGAAGCCTGCATTTTTTACTTTGGGAACAGGTTATGGATACACGCTTGCCTGACGCTCTTGATTTCCAGTGTGCAGTTTTAACACAGTTCAAGATATATCTCTTAGAACGTTGAACTTATGTAGCGACGTGTGTGATTGCGTGCGTGCACATCTGCTTGTACTAGTCTAATGCTTGTTTATCGTGCTAGCTCACTGAAATATCCTGCCCCAGTTTAACATTGATACCCCACTCAGACACTACAAACTGACTCCGAGCCCTCCAGTCGTTGTTTAATCGCCTTAGTACCTAGCGCCAGCAAGGGAACAACAACTACCATCTTTTAACGTTCTTTGGTATGACGCGGCCGAGGTTCGAACCTCCGACCTTCCGCTCTTGGGACAGACGCCCTATCCGCTTGCCCAACCAAAATGCCAAAAAGCTGTATAATGTTGTTTGTCCACAGTATTTAGCAAACATTCCGTTCCTTAACTGAAATACACTTTACTGTGTCTTCGCTGACTCGTTTGAGATCTGTTCCGGATATTCTCATTCTGTTAGTCACCCATGAAGATCCGGGCTAGAACAGGTCTTCAGCAACCCATGCTTGCCGTAACATGCTACTGTGCTTGTCGTAGAGGTGAATAAGGGGATGCTGCGTTAAATAACAAACAAACAAACAAATCATTCTGTTGGTCATTGTTTTGTCGACTCGGGACTCGTTTATTTTTGACATTACACAGACATGAAGGTTTTGTACCGCGTTGAACACAGGAAACTCTCGTTACCATTTAATTTAAGCAGCCTATGCTTTAGGTATTTAACGCTAATAAAACTTATATCTTGAATATTAATTTTCACAAGTTCAGTATCATGTGTCGTCAAGAATGTATATCGTGTGGGCGATGCTATAATGATTTTTTTATGGGTAATGTGTAACCTTTGTATATTTCAATGTAAGAAATGACTAACTCTTCAATGTTGGAATATCATGGTATTAACGTAGAATATATACAATAAATGGTACTAAAGGGATTTATTCAAGTAGATAATGAACTATGCATATGCGTCCTTCTTGCCCCATGTATATTTCATTGTAACGAATGAACATTCCATGGGTGTGATGTATTGCTCATGACTTGTCAGAGAAAATAAAGTATTTTATTATCGTTATTTGTAAACGTTTGTGATATTTTCAAGCAATGATTGACGACATTTATATAACGAAACACTATGTTGACGCACTGCAATATAGAAATGATGAGAGTTATATTTTACCTCGGGTTTCTATGGTAAAATGTTATGCTGGTTTTGCGGAGTTGATATTGATATTGGTCACGTCACTCTGGTAGCCTTAGAAACGTGAAGACGTTGGTTCCAAAGTAAAGGATACGACATTAACCACATATGTATCTCTTAATTGTAAATGCACCAAACATAATTTAATTGAAATGTTGCTTGAAACGAAATTGTTGCTCTCCGATCACCGTGATATAGAGACATTGCTTTCAAAGCGTGTTTGTTTGCATGGTAAGAATCGATCAGATTTCGATATTGAATTTCACCCTGCGCCCCGTCAACAATACATCTGCATTTATTCAAATGTGTGTCATTTATATGTCATTTACATTCCAAGTTGATTTATATTACCGATGTACGGATGAGAAGAATGAATGAGTGAAGACACCGGATTGTTGACCGCTGCGTAAACCATATATTCACTCATTCATATTCCAGTTATTACACGGCGGATTGAATGCCGTCGTGTCCTGGTAAGGCAAGTATGTTGTTCTTTGCACCCCTTCCATAGGGACACGTGGCAAACAAAGTCACACACTGTATCCACCTGATCCTCAACCCTGTGTCCAAAGACGTTGAAAGATTATACTAGTACTTGTTACCTTACCTGGCGCTCGTAATTCAGGGAATAACGCAAGGACTGGTGGGCTCAGAGTCTGAGTTTAATCTGTCTGAGTCGGGTATCCATGTTAAAACAGCGACATGGTATCCCAGTAGGCTCACACTATAAAACCGACATTAATCCGGAATAGTACAAACAGCCACACACACATGTCCATGTTCGTCGCTATACAGGTGCAATAATCTTGAACGCAACGTTAAACCTCATTTCACATCTCCTTATGGCAAGCAAGGCGTACAGGTTTCATCTGTGCCCGGATCGTTATAAAAGATAAAACCAAACTAACTGTAAATAGAGATTGTGAAGAACATCTTTCTATGTAATATAATTGTAACCTCGATTGTCCCTTGTTTTATATCACTATCCTATCCTTAATGGCATAGCTTCGTTTTGAGTCCGATTCAAATGGCAGGACTAGTGTGCGAGACAAGTTCATTTTAGCGATAACAGCGATCGAGAGACAGAGCCGAAGCTCTGGTGCGGACCTGGCTCAGGGTATGTATCGTAATAGAAAGGAGATGTAATACACTGGACAATCGAGGATGTACATGCTTGGGCAGAAACAGGTGAACTCTATTGCCATCGCGCATATAATGAGCAGTGAGTGTATTGACTCGCAGTGGTCGTAAACGTACTGTTAACGTTATCTTCACTTGAGTATCTCAACGAAAATACAAAGAAAGGCAACGGTAGGTTTCCTCATTTTATTGAGAAAGTGGTCATTTGAAAACTAGAACCGTACTGGTCGTCTACAATGTAGAAACTATGTGAACATTGAAAGACTTGAACATATAACATAATGAGACAGGATGCACGACATGTATGCACGGAGACAGGAACACCGACTAGCATGGAGAAACATCTTGTAGGTATGTACACAGAAACATCAGCCCTTTCTGTATCTGTTGGCATCACAGTGTGAAGGACTACACTGACGGTTTGTATAAACAATAAAGTACTTCTGTTATATATCAGGGTAAATGTATAGCATTTATGTATTTAAGCATAAAGGTTATATTTGACCAATTTTAGTTTTTCATGGACTAATAAAATTGTGCGTTTGTTTTGGTAATAGAAGAGAACAAGTTGGGAGGTCATGTGAATCTTGTTCGAACAATTTGAATTGTATGTCTACTGTGGCAGTGTTATTAATGTAAGGTCACACCTTTTTTACTTGCTTTAAAGTTTTTTTACAGAAAAAATCATTTTGTTTTGTTACTGCTCCAATACAGGTCAGCTGGTATTAAAAAAATGATAATGGTTTAATGTGGGAGAAGAGCCTGCAACTCTGATGTGAAGCAACGGGAATACTGTTGTTCATCTATCCATTCTATCAATTTCAAGAACAACAAACGTTATTTTGACACTCACGTTTAATACATTAACGTCAGTGGGTCCTTGTTTAGAAAATTCTTTTTGGTGCATTATGCTTTCAGATTATCGGCGGGATAAAAAGGGAGCAAATTCTGATTCTTTTCTATTTCAACAAAATTTACAGTCGGCTGATCCGTAGAGCAAGTAAAAACAGTGTGGCATAATGAGATCGAAGAGACAAGGTTATTCAAGTATGCAACTGTTATCGCTACAAGGGTATTCAGTACATTTCTATATACAATTGTCAATACGTCGTATTTATATTACGAAATAAACTATTTAATCATAATGCAAACAGATTAATATAAATAACAAATAAATAGTAAACTTATAATTTAGGGATATCCGTGTGTACATATGATCTTTGAATTGTACTCCACCGATCTGACTTCGTTTAAACATTTGAAGCAGAGAAAATGTGGCATTTGAAGATGTACAGCTAATATTAAATACTGAATGGTACATTTGACAATAAAATGTCAGTGACTGATTTATAGATTCATGTTTAATATACAAACTGATTGTTTACCATGTGGTACAATAACGTGTAAATAATACAGTAATCTGTAAAAAGACAGATATGTCGAGTATATTGCACAACCCCGTTTAAGCGAAACACAATGCTATATGTGACAGAAAGGGTTATTGGAAGTGAATTGTAGTTGATGCCACTTTTGAATATCATTTTATTTATATTATCATGGGGATGGGGGAGGAGGAGGGGGAGCCCAAAGGTACAAAGGTCGGTGTGGTGTGGTGAAGACATACCAAGGATCACATTTGGGAGTCTAGGATTCGAACCCAGACAAGTGGTTCCTCGCCCCTAATGGACACAGATCTGTAATGCAACGTTTGGCGCCTTCGACCGCCAGATCTTCAGTCCCCCGAATAATTTCAGTGACTGACAGTGAGTACATTTATACACTGCTTTTAGTTATATTCCAGCAATATCATTGCCGGGACACCAGAAATGGGCTTCACACAATGCACGCGTGTGGGGAATCGCACCCGGGCCTTCGGTATGACGTGCGAACGCCTTAACCACTAGGCTTCACCACTGCCAATAAATCATTTGAAGGGACATAAATTTATATTCTGAAATATGACAGTCTTATAATAATGGTGACAACGTAATTCTTATCACTTCTGAATGTAGAGATAGAGTTTGCTGATCTTTCAACCAATGGAATCGGAAAACCGTTTGAAGGGAAATATACGAAGTGCGTCTCACTTCACTACTTGGTAAAGTATTGAAATATGTTCACACACAACGCTGCACTATATCAACTGGCGTGGTGTGGTAAAGGGGTGTTGCAGTAGTATCTGGACACGGTCAATGTAAAGGTCATGGTTGGACTTGTACACCAGGAACAACACAGTTTAATGCCTCCTCGATAATCCAACGTATTATGCCTCCATTCTTTTATGATAAATACCCTAGGTCTATTCGCTACAATAACTTCATTTTGTGCCCGATTTAACCTGCGTAACTTTGCAAATAGCCGTCCAATAACTTTACACTCATGAGCGGAAGAGACTATGTGCTTCGTTAGTGAAAAGACGTCACTTCTGAAACGAAGCTAAGGTGACGAATGGATCCAGGGTATTTATCTTAACAGGATGAGGTATAATACCCTGTATTATCGAGGATGAGTATAATGATACTTGTATGAAAACGTCTTTGAATCGAGAGCATCATGCTCGTCATTACATTCTTGGGTGAACTGGATGAAAAAGGTAGGTTCATCAATACGTTGTTGTCTGGAAGATTGTATCGGTGGTTGTGAGACAAGGGTATACCCCAACAGCACTATCCAATACCGCACTGTATTTGGCACGTGTTACACAAACACCAACGTCAGTTATGATTGTCTGTGGGAATTCAAGATGGCCGCTAACTAAACTTGGGCTTGGTACTGTAGCACTGAGTTAGACAGGGCACCCGGATGTGTGTTGTTCATGCGCAGAGCTGTCAGACTTTTGTTGTACCAATCCTCTTCAGGATTTTCCTGAAACAAAGCCTTCACACGTGAGTAAAATAGTTGGATATCACAAAAATACATCCTCCCATTCGAGGTTATCGTCATGGTTCGCAGTTGAGAATACCTTTGATGGACAATGTTGATTCTCTATTCAGAAATTATTGTTTGTTTTTAACCATATTTTATTGAGGCATATGGTCAATGGGATTGGACATATTATATACCACTCAAAAGAAGTTAGAGAACACTTGATGAATCTAGATTAACTATAATCATGTGAAAAAATCGGGTGTTCTTTAACTTCTGTAGTATTTATCTTGTTTATATAACTTGAGTAGTATTTATTACAAAAGTAATTACAATAAAAACATTAAAATGACAACACAGAGAAAACAGCTAATTTAACGTCAGGTTACGATAATCTGAATTCATTCCAAAAAGCTTTGGCAAAACAACACAAGCACACTCTCGGGCACGCACGCACGCACGCACGCACGCATATATAAGTGTAATTAACCATGAAGGGATTTTATCTTGGGAAACGGTTTCAGGAATGACTGGAAAAGTGTAGCTCCCTCAGAAAATCAAATGGTCGGTGCTGTACGTTTAACGAGCATAGTTGATGATGTCTCAATACAGTGGTGCTTACCATCTGGCTGACGAGGTTGTAGTCTGTGGCCATGGGGAACTGCTGCACCTGTCTTGGCATGGTCATGGACGCCATGTTGGAACTGGGCATGGAGCCCATCGACGAGAACTGGGCCATGGCGGGTGAGTACCCGGAGTTCATCTGAGGGTAGCGAGTCATGGTGTTCATGTTGACGTTGGCTGGGCTGGGGTAGGCGTAGGGGCGGGTGTTGGTGGGGTAGATGTTACGCATCATGCCGTTGCACGTGGGGATGACAGGCGACAGTGACTTGGCCAGCTGTTTCTCCTGTTTGCGATATTTAGCACGTCGGTTCTGGAACCACACCTGAAAAACAACAAACGTGTTAAAGGAGAACTAGATTCGGGCACATTGACAGTTACGGCAAGATTGATGCGAGTCATTCAGACCTACATTACTTTAATATTTGATCGGGAACTGAAAGGTTATGATTGATATCAAACTGGCATTTAATGATGATCCCAATAAGGCCACAAAAATGTTTCTCATCAATTCCACATGATAAATATGGCAAGGTGACCAGACATTTTTCTATGAAAGACGACAACCAGAGACACTAAACAAAGAGTGAGTATTTAATTCCAACAAGGAAACATAACTCTAATTGAAGACTAAGTGCAGAAAATGATAAATGTCTGAATTCGGAACCGTGAAAAAAGGAATGACCCGCACAACGATGAGGACCATTTCCCTTTCTTTGTTTTGGCCTGATCGCGCGCGCGCACGCACACACACACACACACACACACACACACACACGCGCACGCACGCACGCACGCACGCACGCACGCACGCACGCACGCACGCACACACACACACACACACACTAACACACACACACACTAACACACACACACTAACACACACACACACTAACACACACACACTGACGCACACGTGATGTTAAACCCCATTTCACCTTCCCTAGTTTTGGCTTAACAGAAAGAACGTCCAAATTCATACACGACAACTACATGGTGATATTTTATACATGTTACGTCAAATATAGAGAAATGAACCATGTGATAATAAACTTCAGCAACTAACAGCATTAGCAGGCTCACTGACTTGGTTGCTGCATGTCATCGTATCCCGTTTGTGTAGATCTCTACTAATGTCAATCATTGGATTGTCTGGTCCAGATTCGATTGTTTACAGACCGCCATCATATAGCTTGAATATTGCTGAGTGAGGCGTCAAACACCAACGAACAAACTAACAAACAAAAAGTAAACAAGCAAACGAAACAAACTTCAGAAAGCAAATGAAAACACTGATGTTTTTGAAGCGATAATTTATTTTCGTGATGACCATCTGCGGAATGTCAACGTTGTTAATATAATTTCCTGTGACATTTTCTGAATGTATTCCATGTCATAAGAATTATGTCTATATTGCGCAGGGAAAATGTCATTGAGCCATCAAAGCTCCGAGAACACTGGCTGTTGCAAAAAATGTATCACTGTTGTGTTTTGATGTCTGGAGGATGTAAAGACAAAATCAATACCAGCAGCCATAAGATGAATCGTCTTTAATATAAAACATCAACAACATCAAATCTGTCATCTGATAATGGACACAACTGGCAGCAAAAACAGGTCTTTGTTTTCACTTTTTGTCACTAAGAGTGCGACTCACGCATGACGATACTGGTGAACAGACCACATATATTGACTAGCTCGGGGAGGTGGCAGTCTGATTGCAAACAATTCATGCTTCTGGTCAGAAGTCCAAAGGGCTAACGCCATGCTCCCCACACCACAAACAGAAGCAGAAGTGTTGCTAATAGGACATGGAGCAGCTATGATTCAGGCTCGGGATGTCAGAGGGGGGTCCATTGATTCCACAAGCAAGCAGTTTCAGACAACTTGGTTAAAGTCCTCGGTATTGATTTGCATTATTGTGGAGTTGCCGCTACTCCACGCGAGACTGCCCCGGTCAGAAGGGTGGGTTAGTGCGCTCCTTGGGTCAGGGGACGTAGCGTGATCTGTGAACAGACTCAGCCCTTCTCGGGAAACTCACCGTCTACGAATAATGGACCATTGCATGAGAGATTCATCTCGCCTCATCCACGCCATTTCGTGGAAGTCGCCTCTTTTCAGCTCTTTGGAAATCTTGAAATGTCTTAGTAATCGAATTATGTTCGAAATTGATGTTTCCTAGTCATTTGGGTGTCTATTCAGCTCTTCAATTAACGTCCTTTGTAAATAGCTCTATTATGAGCGATAACTATGACCAATCTACACCTGCCCACAAGCCGGTCGATAGACCTCGGGACACGCTCCACGTGTGAGCACGTGCCAAAAATTAACTGCCGTACAGACGTGCGGTTCATACCGGTTGCAATTTATTTGATATTAATTAATCTAAGCAGATGTTTACGGTCCTACTTTCACATTCCTATACACTGATCGATATGTGGCCATTAAGTAAACAGAGAGCCCATTTGAGCCATTCCCCGCCAAAACAGCAATCCATCGCGACTTTAAGAGGCAAGCAGACGATAGTTGTGGATCTCGAGCAGACGGCTTGGGACTTGGCCCGCGTGCAGAAGAGATGTTGAAGGCAGGGGCGCGACCAGGTCTCGCGTGTTGTGTCATCGGAGAATTGGACACACAGTCGCCCGAAGACAGAAATTTGCAAGCTTTATGAAGCACAACACTCGCATTGAATTAGAAGTACCTTGGCGAGGGGTGGTAGCTCATCGCGGTGGAAGCTGAAGTCATAATGTATTCCTCTCATCGCCTTCGCCGTCTCCTGAGAACCTCGGGCGTAATGAAAATTGACAAAGTCGCTAATGGAAAAGTCTTTGAAGATCGTGGCACTGCTTCGACGCTCTGTGTGCAAAATTCCCCCTCCATCGACCAGAGTCGTACGAGAAGAGCAAGTGTTCGTCATTTGCGAAATCCAATTTCTACTTCCCCCAAAGCATCAGGATTGCCAAATACTATCACATAGAGGCGATGCCAACTTCGTTAGAATCTAAATGCTCACAAACTCATTTAAACATTTTGCAATTGACTGCACCTACCGCGCTTGTTATGGAATTAATTTTGGCGAATTGTTAGGGTCGGATCGGTGTAAATTGTTTTAGTCTCGTGTGGTAGACGACATAAAAGATAAATAAGATTTATCATGGATACGGGGACTATTGATCCTTCGACCTGGCAGCCGAAAAATGATGCTGATTTATATTATATTCGTCTCGTTTGATGATGGCAAATCTGCCCCCCGACACCATAGGTTAGCAGTCACATACAGGAAGCCGGCCAAGCGCTTATATACCTTGTTCACAGCCAGATGTCAATCTAGGCCGTGTTTGTGTGGATTGATTTGGGAAAATCATTACCGGTTTATTTCGGGAAAATCATTAAGGGGTCTCACTGATGTACAAGATCAACTTCCAACAAGAACAAGAATAAAAATGGGATGATTGAATAACACGGATATAATTAATATTATTTGCCGTTAATGTTCATAAGTTATTATCTTTTGGGTACAGAGTTCGCCTTTCTAACCACGCCCATACAGACGAAGACCTGGCAATGACACCACTTAGTGTCCAAAATGTATCACTTGTAATGTGCGGTTGGGGATTTCGTGGTTTGCGTTCGGAACTGTGATCGTCGTCGCTGGTTCATTTGAAAGGAACTGAATTTTATAAGGTTTGCACTTATGAATCTTCATTATGAACAAATGTACAAATTTGAAATGATAAATAACACATGTTGAAAGGATAACAGATAATGACAGTAAATGTAGGAATTATGTACATTCATTCCTAAAACATCTATCCAGATGATTTTAACTCTTAACAAAAATATTTTCTAAAAACTGAAACCGCCTTAAATTTGTATTCCACAAAGAACCAAAACAAAGTCATTGATGTCCCTCTTGATAAAACAAACAATCAGACTTATTTCTAATGTAAAAAATAAGTAGAAACATTTTTTCAATAATGTTGGTTTTCGTCATGTCTTGTTAACTGTAGGAGATGAAATAAGACGTAATAGTGAACTTTCCATTAAACTTAAAATTGTTTGACGTTTCGTGCTCTTTTTTACATGGAGCATCACTCACAAGAATTTTACAACAAAGAAACGTTAAAGTATTAACTATCGGTGTGCTTAAAGATATCGAAGAATATGTCAGGATGAAATCCAATTTGTTTCTTTCAGGAACTAAATCCTCAAACGATTCTGAATTTAAGTTCAATTTGCTGCGTGTTTTATAACGCTATTCTTTCACTCCATATGACGTGTTCGTAATGATTTCGTCGATGCTTCTTGGTCCAGCTTGAATTAAAAAAAACGTCGAAAAAATACGTTTCGATCGATAAACTCCAAAAAACAGCTTGCTCATTTCTTTCGCATTTCGACCAAGGACTTGCTTAGGGCGCTCAGGAACTCACAATTTTCCTGGGGTCAAAAAAATGTTACGCGTCAATTTTGAATAAGTTTAAAGTAATAGGGTCGTCGGAAGAAATTCCGGTATGCAGGAAGCGATACTGCGCTAGTTTTAAACCTTGAATTTAAATTCAAAATTGAATTTTAAAGTATTAACAGTTTGCTTTAAATTACAGAGTCGTGACTTAAGTAGGTGGGTTTATTTATTTCGATTTATTGTGTACTGTACTAACTTAGTTTTAACTAGTTTGGAGCATGGTGAAAATATAAATGTTAGATTTCGTTTCCAAATTTGGTTCGTTGCCGTTTTCATTATGTTTCAGAGGAGTTACTTGTCAAGTTTTAAAACTGTTTAATACCTAAGTGACTGTTCCATGAATATAGACTAATTGCTACAAGTCAACAGGCTTGAAACTTATAGTTCACGAATGCTTAAAATTTTTAATATTTATTTTAAACGCATGTTTGAACAACAGAAAAAATATAACGTGACCAATAACATGCAAATAACATAATTGTAACCCTCTTGCGCGAATAGATGTGCATTTATATACTTTCTGCAAAACACGACCTATTTATACCAATTATTTAATATTTTTAATGTTCACTATCTTCCGAGTTTTATACGTTTACGATTTGTGTTATATACACTCCACCTTTACCCTTGAATCAAGACATACATGAAGAACTGTTTCCAGACAATGCCATATGCTTTTACAAAACATTGGTCTGTGTGGATGGTTCTAACTAAAAAGAAAAAAGGATATTTCTAGATTCAAGTAAAATCCTTTTGCGACACATAAAGAAGTTATCAACAAAGCTATGACAAGAATAAATAATTTCAAAAGCAATTCAAGGTATTTTGGGGACAGTTGCCATGGCTGCTGCCATCTTTAATTA